CAAGTTCCTTCTTACCCTCTTCACTAGGATAATGGATTACTCAGATGAGAGTAGAAACACACATTAGGACCCCAGTGGCCTGTTTGCTGAGGTTACAGCATTTTGTATGGCATTTAGGGAGGAGTAATGCAGGATCATGAGGACCTTACAGGTCCTCTGATTGAGTTGCATCTACACGATGCTAAACTTTCCAATGATGCCATAGATCTTTCCTTGGGTGCCAAGGGTCACATACAACTCTGTTCCCTTATATTTCATAGCATAGATCACGAACTCCACATATGCCTGTTCATGGTGGACATGGTGGATCTGGGCAAGATTGCTGAATGTATGTTTGATGAAGTTTGGGGACACAATACTTTAGAGGCTAAAACTGCTGTTGCTGAGCTCCCTCCCTTCCCTCTTCTCAGGTCCAACCAAACTCTCTGTCAGAAGGATGGTGTCCAAGCCCATCAGTTGTGGATCCCCTCCACTGCTCCCCTTGAGAGGTTCCAATGCTGAGTCCAGTTTCTTCCTGGCTGCACAATACATATTATTTCTAAGTATGAATTTTTGCAAAGTAGGTCATATTATGGCCAAAAGGCAATTCTCAAAGCATTGTAAAACATTAATTTTAGGTAGGCCAAGTGGGATCAAAGTAGAATTCAATAATAGAAAGATAATTAAAGCCCTCCATATGTTTGAAAATAAATACACACATTATAGGAGAAAGTTCATGTTAATACTAACTAAAATTCAATGAAATGTTGAACAACAAATAGGTAAATGAGACTCATTGAAAAAAAGACCTGGTGTCCAGGACATTTTCTCTCCAAAATGCTACAACCAGGGCAATCAGCACAGCACTGTCATAGAAAGAAAGACTCAGAGTGGGAAGAAGAATGTAGAAGGATCTCAGAAACAATGAAGACCTCATTATAAGATTTCTCAGTAAGGCCAGTCCTTGACTATACCACTTTACCAATGGGATGTCTTAGACAATGTCCTGTAAGGTCTGATGAGTTCACAGACATGCAAATTCCCAATTTCACACTGCAAAGCCATCCTCTATATTACTTTGTATCACTTCACTGCATTTATAAACAGGAAATAACATTATTATATGTACTTGAATTACAAGCTAGGGCAAAAAGGCATGAGAAGGAAGTAAAAGGATAAATATAAGAAGGATCTTTGATCCTCTTTGAATCAATCTTTGTAAAGGGAGGGAGATAGGTATCTAGCTTCAATCTTCTACATGTGGATATCCAGTTTTTTCTGTCTTTTCTCCAACATATTTTCCTGTCTTTGTCAAAAATCAGATGGCTTATTTCTGGATCTTGTATTCTATTTCATTGTCATTGGTTTATGTGTCCATTTTTGTGCCAGTACCTTACTGTTTTTGTTACTATAGCCATGTAGTATGTAGTATAATTTGAAGTCAGGTGTTGTGATGCTTCCAGCATTGCACTTCTTGCTCAGTACTGTGTTGGTTTTAGTTATTGCTTTGGTTATGATGTAGTCTGTAGTGTCTTTTAAGTACAGGATCATTAGGCCTAAAACTTTAAAAACTACTAGGGGAAAGCATAGGGACTTTGAAGATATAAAAATAGGTAACACATTTCTGTATAGGAGTCCATTTAATCAGGAAATAAAAGCAAGAATTAACAAACAGGATTGCATCAAATTAAAACACTTCCAGAATCAAGATATGATCTACTGAATTGAAGAACATTTTGTCAGCTATTCATTGCTTAAAGAATTATATACAGAATATATTAAGAACTCCTAATATTAAGCATGAAAAGAACAATCAATCCATTTAATAGGTGGGAAAGTTAATTAAATAGACAGTTCTCTAAAGAAGAAGTACAAAGATCCAAAAAATAAGAAGGAATTTCTCACCCCTGTCAAAGTGGCAATCAAGAAAACAAAGAACAACAAACACTGGCAAGATGCTGAGGAAAAGGAACCCCATACACTGTGGTGGGAATACACATTAGTGTAGACATTTTGGAAATCAGTATGGAGGTTCATCAAAAAGCTAAAAGCAGAAGTACCATATACGGCTGCTATATCACTCTTGAGCACATATCCAAAGAAACATAAGTCTGCGTACAATAGAGATAGCTGTACATGGGTGTTTATAGCAGCACTAGTCACAGAAGCCAAACTATAGAATTAACCTACGTGTTCATCAACTGATTACTGGATAAGTAAAATGTGGTGCATATATACATAACAGAGTGTTATTCAATCATAAGAATGAAGGATATTATATTGTTTGCAGGAAAATTGATGGAACTGAAGATCACCATGTTAAGTGAAATAAGCCAGACTAAGAAATGCAAATATTGCATGTTCTCTCTCATATGTAGACTCTACACCTTAAAAATGAATGACAAGAATTTAAAATGGACAGAAATTGGGGGGAAGGGGAGAAGAGAGGGTGGAAAGATAGGGTGAATGGGGGATGTGAATGTGATGGAAATACTTTCTATGTATGTATGAAAAATGGAATAATTAAACTTATTAAAATTATTTTATAAGGAGGTAAAGGGATAAGAAAAGGTATAGAGTGAATGAATTTGATCAAAGTACATTGCACACATGCATGGAAGTATCACAATTAAATTCCTTTGTATAATTAATGTATTATAATGAGAGAGAGAAAGAGGAATACAAAAGTTATGTATGTATGGGGTCATGGAAGCTTACATCCATATTTGCAAGGAAACACTGGGAAGCCAGACAATATATAGCAGGTTTGGAGTACCTGTGTAGCCATTTGAAAAGGTAATGAATACAAGTGTTATAGTGAATCCAAAAATACACTAGAAACACCAAGGCTGGAGATGCCAGAAGCATGGAACATCTGCCAAGAAAAGTCACAAGGCAAGCCCAGAAGAGAAGCCATGTAAGATGGAGCCAGTAAGGCCATAAGGATGGGGCTACACAAGTCCTTTGGTTCTTCAATGTTAGACATGGAGCTGCTGGATTAAATGTTTGTTTTCCCTGCTGAGTTTCAGTCTTGGTTTGATCTGATACTTCTACACTAGTCTCTTATTTTTCTCTTTTGGAATGGGAATCTTTGCTTTATGTCATTGTGTGTGGGATGTACATATTTTTAAACTGTTGTCTCACAGTTAAGAAATTGCCTTGAGTCTCGCTACAGATTTTCAACTTGGACTTCTGACCAATACTGAAACTGTTGAAACTTTGAGGAAGGAATTTAATGCATTTTCAGTGGCACACAGAATAGTTATGTCATGTTAGGTTGAATTGTGACTTTATTATTGTATTTGTTTGAAGACTATGGTGTAAGGAGATATGTTGAGTGTCAGGATGACAAAGGTTGGGCAGTGTTGATTAATTTTGATTGTCAACTTGATTGAATTAAGAAAAGCTTCAGACATTAATAAAGTACACTTCTGGGTATTTCTCTAATTAATCTAAATAACTGAAGGGAGTAAAATCCACACTGAATAAGGGCAGCTGTATCCAGTATGTTAGGGGCCCAGAAGAAACAAAAGAAGAAGGAGGAAGCCTGAAAGAATAGCCACACTCCTTTCTTCTTCCTGCCCACCATCAGGTGAGCTGGTTTGTTCCACTGCATATTCCCAACCATAATGTTTAGCTTCACCAGTCCAGAAACAACAGAGCCAAGTGACAACAAACAAAAACCTCTGAAACCATAGCCACAAAACTCATTTTGAGTTATTTTCTCAGGTATTTTTCACAGAGATGCAAAAGAAGGAGAGAGATTGGAGTAAGAATATATTGTACACTCCAACAGTACACTCTTCATAGTTTTCTGAGCTGTGAGTTTGGAAGAAATTGCTAGATATTTATGGCCTTGTCCCTGGCTTCTCTCCTTTTGGGATCAGATATTATTCCCACATATCTGAGATGTCCCTTTTCTCCATTTGATATCTGTGTGAATATCTCTCTTTGCCTTAAAAACCATGAAACATTCTACTCAGTCTTCTAACACAAAAGTTTCATTAACAAAGAATTCTTCTAATAATATCCTTAAAAGAAAGGATGGAGTATAATCCACAGAATACTCTTAATAGTCCTCCATAGCTAGTCCCATATTTCAAGCACCTTTTCTCAATAACACTCAGACCTCACTTTAACAAAGTACCTCTTCTACAAAAGTGAACAATTCAACTCCAACACAAACCCTACATTCACACTGTTTACCAAAACACCACTAGCTTCTGGGAAAAGCAATTCTGAATCCTTGCTATAAAGGCAACTTCACAGTTGCTACACAGTTAACTTCAGTTACTTGGGCACACACAAGTCACTCTAAAAACACACAGTGCTTTCCACAATAATAATTACAGTGAATGAGATTGTCTTTCTAACATACATTTGCTGCACTTTCTTTTATTTATTTTAATTTTTATTTTACAAAACCATCCACTACTATACAGAACCACATTTATTCCTTCATTCATTGAGGAGATATTAAGAACACAATGTGCTACAGCAGAGCTAAGCCCTTGGGATATAAAAAGTGCTAAAGTCTTCAAGGACTAACATTCTGAGTCATTTCTAGCTCAACAAGTGAAGTCTTTCTCATGACTGTCCTAGAAGGAGCCTACATTCCCCTCGTTTACCTACACCAAGGTCTTCTTTATCCTCCATGGAGGGAAACCTCTCAGTCACGGGGATACCGTAATTACCTCAGTGTTCTTTTCAATTCATGAACCTGCGAGAAAAATTAAAGCCCAGGAAAGAGTAGTGTTAGGTCTATCTAGTCCAAGTAGTGGAACAGTTTAGATCATAGAGTATTTATACAAATTTATAGGACCTGAGTTATAAGACAAAAAGCTCAGGCTGTAGAGTTAAAATTGGTGAGTTTAAACCCATATTGATAAGTGACAATCTCGACAATTTTATGGTGTAATCCTTATTATAATGAGGGAAATAATTCCCACCAATTAGGGCATCCTGGAAATTAGTGTACATACTAGTGTTCATTAAAAAGATTCTCAAATCTTTTTTGTATTCTAAGGGCCACAAGTGGAAGATTTGTGAGCATGAATCCAACCATCTCATCCCAGAAGACAGAATCTACACCACTAAATGGAATTTGGCCACACAATTATCAAGATTATGAGCTGCCACTAATCCTAAATGTGCTGATCCTCATAATTGCGGTGGTTGGGCTGCCAGGAAACTTGACTGTGCTCTGGCTCCTGGGCTTCCGCATGCGCAGGAATGCCATCTCCGTTTATATCCTACATCTGTCGGGGGCAGACTTCCTCCTCCTTTGCTGCCGCATTATTGAATCCCTGATGAGAATCATATTTATCCATATCTTTCATTACTCCAATTACATCTCTATCTACTATGTTTTTCAAAATGTGGTAACCATTCCCTACATCTCAGGCCTGGGCATACTTAGTGCCATTAGCATAGAGCGCTGTCTGTCCGTCCTGTGGCCCATTTGGTACCACTGCCGCCGCCCAAGAAACATGTCAGCTGTCATATGTGCCCTGATGTGGGTCCTGTCCCTAATAATGAGTATCCTTGATTGGCATTACTCTGGCTTCCTGAGTGAATTTTCTGATCAAAATTGGTGGGAAAAAGTTGACTTTATCATAGCTGCATGGCTGATTATTTTATTTATAGCTCTTTCTGGGTCTAGCCTGGCTCTGATGGTCAAGATCCTCTGTGGTTCCAGGCCGAGACCACTGACCAGGCTGTATGTGACCATCTTGCTAACAGTACTGGTCTTTCTCATCTGTGGCCTGCCTTTTGGCCTTTACTGGTTCTTGTCAGTTTGGTTTCACATTTATTTTTATCATAACTTTCGTCTTCCCTATGAAGTTACTGTTGTTCTATCCTGTGTTAACAGCTGTGCCAATCCCATCATTTACTTCTGCGTTGGCTCCTTTAGTAAGCGACAACAGTATAAGAACTTCAAGACTGTTCTCCAGAGGGCTCTGCAGGACACTCCTGAGTTGGATGAATGTGGAGGCAGCCATCCTCCAGAAACATTTGAGATGTCAGGAAGCAGAGTTGAGCAGTGATAAAGAATCTCTTCTTTGGTCATACAGATGTGACTTTGAGAGTCAATACTACACTTATACACTATTCTCTTGCACTCATACCTTGAAAATATTTCAGCAACTTTGCAATGCTTTCAAAAAGTTTTTTTAAACCTGGTTTTTCTTATGTTTCATAGAGAAATTATTCAGGAAAAAAAGAATGTCTTCAACCTTATTGACATCCTCAATGACTTTTTCAAATGTCAATTGAATACTTTTATTCAAAGCTTTTCTTCGCAATTTTCATTACAATGCTAAGAGTACTTTTTCAATACCATAAACCTCAAATGATGAGCATTATCTAAATAAGGTATTGAAAATGAAGATTCCTTATTTTTCTCTCAGACAATGTTTCTCAGAGATTCATATCATGTTCTGTTTCCAGCATTCCAACCAGTAGAAAGCTTGGTTCTGAAAGAATGAGTTCTGACATGTATTACTGAGCAATTACTGTGTTTGAGGAAAATTATTCTCTTTGAGGCAGACTCTATTATATAAGAGAGGTTCAGGAAACTGGATTTATAAAAAGTCTTTTGTTAATATTTGTTCATTGCATTATAACAACTTGCAGTTCTAAACCAGGGTCTTTGCCATTGACATGAACTGAAGACAGATAACCACTGTCATGAGTTAAGCAGACTCAGAAGTACTGTGACTACAATGACAGCAAGCATGTTCTCTTTCACCTCTGTGGTAACACTTCAGCTTAGGACAAGGCTGTGTGAAGCTTTTTATATAAGATGGTTTTGTATATACAGGGCATCAATATTGTCAATACAGTATTGTTGACTTTAAAAATAGATGTGATTTAGTTGCTATTCCCAAGGATATTAGTGAAATTTTGAAGAGATCTTCATACAAACACCTGTCTAAATTGATACAATTGTTCTGATTAATTCCACATTATAGACACAAAGGCAGACATCACAGTGCAAAAATACCTAATTGTGTGCGTGAAAGAGAGCACTCATGTGTGCATGTGTACATGTGTGCGATGGGCCATAGATCAATAAAGGCTTCCTGATAAACTGAAATTTAAGCTGACTAATCAACAATTTACCAAGCATTTACAATTTACCTCTGGCACTTTTACCATAATAAATACTTTGAAATAATCAAAGAAATATAAGTAGTTTAAAGACAGATGGAAATGGGAGAAGAGGCAATTCAAACTGGCATTGTTAATAAAAGCATGCAGAAGCTCTGAAAATGGTGATTGGTAGGCAAATGGGTTTCATTCAATATGTTACCTTAAATATTTTGCAGTTATTGCAAGATCTCTCTTAAGAAGGGTTATAAGGCTGGACTACATGAGCAATATCTGTCATGCCTGGAAGTGATAAGGATTGCCATGAGTTTTGTAAAATTAGTGAAGTTTTGTAAAACGGAGTCAAGTCTACCATGATGGCAAGTCTGAAGATTGCCAGCCAGGTTTCCCAGCAAAACAAACTGAAAAGCAACATCCTGCTCTCCCAGTCTCCCCCTAGAGATGTATCAACTCTAGAAGATCAGAAACTACAGTACAAACAAGAGGGAGCTGGAACAGGGAGAAGTATGCTGTAAAGGGAATATGAGAGAAACACTGAAATATACCCACTTCTCTGATGTAGTCTTTTTGGCTGCAATAGGCACAAAAACGGGAGCAGAGGAGATCATCTTGGAATAAGTTCAAATTTTATTCTTCATATCAAAATTCAAATCAAAACAATTTTGATAATGATGATGCTTTAGACTTGGTAGGCAGATATCAGAACCTCATAGTCAAAGTCTACATGTAAATTTTCACCTCTTTTGAAATCCTATTTTAATATCCTAGTATAAAAGAGACAGAATAATGTATACAAGCTTCAGAACTTCCAAAGAATGTAGAAGAGATGCATATTGAATCATTAAGTATATATGTAAAATTCTATTTTTTAACTTTTAAAGAGAAATTGGAAACAAATAGGACAAAATTTGTACTATATGGTTTATTTTAGTGTTGGGTATGTCCATGTCTATTGTAGAACTATGTCTCACATAAAGACAGAGATACATTTTGAGAAACACATCCTTTGACAATTTATCATTTTATATGAACATCATATAATGCACTTACATGAACCTAGACAAGATAATCTACTACACAACTGGGCTATATGGTATAGATAGATGATAGATAGATAGATAGATAGATAGATAGATAGATAGATAGATAGATAGATGATAGATGATAAATAGATAGTAGATAGATAGATGATTGATAGATAGATAAGAAACAGGCACATATGTGTACTGTGTGTGTGAGTGTGTGTGTGTGTGTGTGTGTGTGTGTGTAGTATAGACTATTACTCCTGATATCATGGTAAACAAAACAACACAAGATTTTTAAAAGCATAGAAGAATATGATAAAATCAAGAGGCTTGATAAACATGGCATGCATGTGGCTGCTGTAAGAATAACATGGCATAGTTTTATAGTACACTTTATCTTAAACTTAGAAGTACTGTAAAATAACAATAGAAGTAGGGTATGGTGAATATCTAAACCAGTAACAGTCATGTATTATCATTACCAAGGATTGGATATGAGGGCGTTCTGGCTGCGACATCTGTCACCCCATTGATCACCAGAGTTGATTCTGCTGATCTGACTGGCTAGGCGGGTGTCCCCTTCCTTCCTCACCACTCCATGTGCGTCCCTCCTGAAGCTGCGTGCTCGGTCAAAGTGGACGACCATCGCTGATAGAGCAGGACTGTTCTTCGGTCAAGGGTATATGAGTAGCTGCGCTTCCCTGCTAGAACCTCCAAACAAGCTCTCATTACCAAGGATTACATACTGTACATAATTGTATTTGCTATCTTTTTATACCACTGACAGTGCAGTAGGTTTTCTTATACTGGCATCACTGCAGACTCTTGAGCAATACATTGTGCTACAAGGTCACAACTTCTGCAACATCACTAGGTAATATGAATTTTTCAGTTTTATTGTAATCTTAAGGAACCACTGTTATAAGCAGTTTGTTATTGATGTAAATGTCCTTATATGTGCATGACTGCATTACCTCCTTGCCTGTAAGTCTAGTCCACAAACTTCTCTCCAGTGTTCCTGTCTTCTCATTCTTGTTGACTTCAATATCTATGGAGTTAGTTTACTCATCCAACTGATCTGTCAGTAGTTTTATAAATTTTCATCTGGATTATTTACAAACTAACCAGAAGTTGCAAAATTAGTATGTGTCCATCACCTTGACTGTACCAATGGTGATATGTATTACACAAATATTGTATATTATCAGCAGCAAAAACTTGACAATTTGTACAATAAAAGTGTGTATGTTAAAGATGGTATTTAGAATTCAGCCGTGTTAGATGCACTCATTTCTATTTTGTGAGAAGTTGGCCATTGTGGATGATACGACCACATTTTTTCACATGTATAAAAATACATGTAGTGTATAGTGGCCTTGGCCAGTTTAAGATTACAATATTCACTCCTCTGCAGTAAGCACATCAACGACATTCAAGTTTTAGGTTTCCTTCTCTGTTCTTATTCCTCCCATTTGTGTGTTCTCCCCTTAGTGTATGACCCATGTCCAGTAACATTTCTGCATTTGTTTTAGGTCTATAATCTGCATATGAGGGAGAACATGTGATTTTCGGCCTTCTGAGCTTGGCTAACTTCACTTAAGGTTATGTTCTCCAGTTCCATTCATTAACTTGCAAATGACAAATTTCATTCTTCTTTGTGGCTGAATAAAATTCCATTGTGTATAAATACCACATTTTCTTAATCCATTTGTTGGTGATGGGGCACCTTGGCTGTTTCCATAGCTTAGTTATTATGAATAGTGCTGCAATAAACATGGATGTGCAGGTGCCTTCGTAATAACCTGAGTCTCATTCCTTTGGGTGTATCCTTCGGAGTGGTATTGCTGAATTATAGGGCAGATTTATGTTTAGTTTCAAAAAAATCTTTCTTTATAAGGAATTTTGACTACCCTTCACAATACCTTACAACTTGCTATTCTCTGGGGTTTTCTCTATCTAAATATCATTGAAACATTTCTTATCTAGTCTCATTCAGAGTTATTTTATTCCTATTTCCATCTTCTTTCTCTACTGTCAATTTGATAGAACACTCACACACATTTTCCAAAAAATGACTGAAAATGGAATATAATTCAATATTACTTATTGATTAGAGCATAAGTTCCTCTGTTCCCAGCCACATCAGCATGCAAGCCTAGGGGAATAGAAAGAGGGCAATGGGTGGGGGTGCTATGTTATTTCTAATATTCTCATGGCCCAGAAATTGATTACATCATCCTGTTCATCTCACACTGATTACCCACCACCAGTCTAGTGAAAAGAAAATGTACCACAATCTAGCCACTACACAACCTTAAATAATGTATGAAAAATTCTTAATTAAAAAGACACAGAAGGTTGAAAACCCAAACCAAAAACACAGTGTCATGTGCATAAATCCCAGCATTAAAAAAAGCCAATATGTCCCCTCCAAAACCCTACAACTCCACAATAAAGGACTTAAGTGACAGTGAAAAGGAAAAAATCTGAAATAACAAACAAAAAAACTATAATGTTGATCAATGAAATTAAAGAGATGTATAAGCAACTGAATAAATTCAGAGGATACAAATAAACAGCTAACTGAACTCAAAGAGAAGTCAAACAAACAACTGAATAAATAAAGAATATAATGGAGGATATAAAAAGGAACTTAATAATGATATAGACATCCTAAAAAAGATCAAATTGAAATCTTGAAAATGAAAGCTCAATATCCCAAATAAAACCTCAATCAAAAGTCTTGCTAACAGAGCAGAACAGGTTGAAAACAGAGTATCAGAGATTGAATATAGACTTAATACAAGTATAAAAATATTATGAAGAACAGGTCACATTAAGGGGTGGTCACATACGAGAGGGAGAGGGTAAAAGAAGGAAGTTAAAAGGTGAATATGGTTGATGTACTC